AATAAATTTTCTGTCTCCCAAATACCAACAATGCTGTTATGTAATCGACTAATGTAATGGTTAATTCATTCTTCTTCTTTTTTTTCTTTTTTAACTCAAGTTAGTTAGCATACAGTGTGGTGCTGGCTTCAGGAGTAGAGCCCAGTGATTCATCTCTTATATCAGACACCCGTGCTCATCCCAACAAGTGCCCTCCTTCAAGCCTGTCGCCCATTTAGCCCATCCCCCCACCCACCTCCTCTCCAGCAACCTCCAGTTTGTTGTCTTGTATTAAAGGGTCTCTAATGGTTTGCCTTCCTCTTCGTTTCTACCTTATTTTTCCTTCCCTTCCCCTGTGTTCATCTGGCGAGTTTCTCACATTCCACCTACGAGTGAAATCATGTGATATTTGTGTCCCTTTGGCTGACTTATTTCACTTAGCATAATACCCTCTAGTTCCGTCCGCATTGTTGCAGATGACAAGATGTCATTCTGTTTTATCACCAGGTACTATTCCTTTGTACACCACATCTTCTTTATCCATTCAACAGTCGATGGACATTTGGGCTCTTTCCATACTTTGGCTGTTACTGATAGCGCTGCTGTGAACATCGAAGGTGCATGTGCCCCTTCAAATCAGCATTTTTGTGTCCTTTGGATAAATTCCTAGTAGTGAAATTGCTGGGTCATAGGGTAGTTCTATTTTTAATTTTTTGAGGAACCTCCATACTGTTTTCTAGAGTCGCTGCACGAAGTGTGCATTCCCATCAGCCGTGCACGAGGGTTCCCTTTTCTCTGCAGCCTCGCCAGCACCTGTTGTTTCCTGAGTTGTTAAGTTTACGCACTCTGACCGGTGTGAGGTGGTATCTCATTGTGGTTTTGATTTGTTTTTCCCTCATGATGAGTGATTTTGACCATCTTTTCACGTATTTGTTGGCCACTTGGATGTCTTCTTTGGAAAAGTGTCTATTCATGTCTTTTGCCCGTTTCTTCAGTGGATTGTTTGGTTTTATGGGTGGGTGTTGAGTTTGGTAAGTTGCTTATAGATTTTGGATACGATCCGATATGTCATTTGCATATGTCTTCTCCCATCCCCTCGGTTGCCTTTTAGTTTTGTTGATTGTTTCCTTGATGTTGGTTGTTACCTTGATGAGGTCCCAGTGGTTCATTTTTACTTTGATTTCCCTTGCCTCTCGAGACAGGTCAAGTCAGCAGTTGTGGCGGCTGAGGTCAAAGAGGTCACTGCCTGTTTCCTCCTGTAGGATTTTGATGGTTTCCTACCTCGCAGTTAGGTCTTTCATCCCTTTTGAATTTATTTTTGTGTCTGGTGTAAGAAAGTGGTCCAGTCTCGTTCTTCTGCATGTTGCTGTCCAGCTCTCCCAGCACCGTTTGCTCAAGAGACTGTCTGTTTTCCATTGGGTGGTTAGTTCCATTTAGGTCGTCAGGAGTGAATGTTGTCTGCCTTCTGCTTCCGTGTTTTAAGAGTCCAAGTAGACTTGGTAGGAACATATCTTTCAGCTCCGTGGTACAAAAAACTCCACAATGCCTGTGCAGAGGTAGCTTTTGTTGAAGTTGTCCTATAGAATTGTCATATTTTACAGGGACAGGGTCTAAGAAACTGTTTCTTCACATCCCCTATTTTTATAGATGAGGAAGGAGACTTTAAGTAGTTTAGTAACTTGCTCTAAGTTTGTGGTTCTCAACATAATTACACTTATTGCTCCATTTTTTAATTTTTTACCAAATACTTTAAGCACCTCTTCCCTTTTACTACCCTGAAATGAATTTCTTAGATAATATAACCCACGTTCTTTTTAATAAACCAACATCGTGTCCTAATTATAAAAGAGAAGTAAAGGAAATTGATTTAGAATAAAATGTATATTTCAGCAGGTAAATATGAAATATGCATAATATGACTGCTCTAAGGTCATCCTGAAGTAGTCACATCCGTACATTTGCGTACTGAATCACTGTGAATGTGACAGGTACGAGTGTTAGCTGGGAGAGAGGCCAGGTACCAGCCTGGGACTCAGACAACACAGTAAAGACTGCCATTGGTGATGTCAGTTTTCAAAAATGGCGAACAAGCCTTTAGTAAAGTTCCAAGTGAAACAAAGTATAATCTTTCCTCGATATGCAAAGTAATTGCGTTCCTGGAAATTGAGTGAATTTTGTATTTATATATAAAATAGAATTAGGTTCTAAGGTCAGATTAAAGTAAATTGTTGAGCTATTTATGTATTTATTGTTATTATTATCTCCCCCCCCCCCCCATGAATGCCAGAGAAGATATTTGGAAGTTTTGTCGGATGCAGGATTGGACCTTGTTGTATAGATTATCCTGAGCATTATAGAGCATCTAACATCTCTGGTCTTTAAGCGCTAAGTATTGCTATTGGTTGCTCATCATTGTGACAACAAAAAAATATCCTCAGAAATTTCCAGACATCCCTTCTGAGAGAACTGCTGCCTTAAAATACACAGTTAAACTGGGACTAAAACTTGGGTCTAGTGACTCCTGCTCGCCCCGCCGCCATGCTGACATGACTCCGCTTGCTTCCTGTGTTGTGCCCCGTGTAACTGTTAGTGACTAACTTGGACATTTGGGGAAATGTTGCCGATGAGTCTTTCCAGCAATTACAGATAGCGCTCTGTCGGCAGTGACGTGCTTCCCAGTCAGGTCGCTGTGTGTAGCAAGTTGTCCGGGTCAGGTTCTTCCTCCAGCTCTTCTTCATTCTCAGGTTTGCTTTTAAGGCCGTTGCTGATAATCCCATCAGAATGCAGTGTGACTGTGAGCCTTTTCTCCTGCAAACATAGCTCTGGCCTCTCGTTCATTCAGGGAGTCACGGATGAGCACCCAGTGTGTGCCAGCTGCTGTCCAGACAGTAGGGACAAAGTAAATGTTCGCACTTATGGTCTAAGCGGAGGGAGATCGGCTTTAAGCAAGTAAACTCATTAATGGCTATCAAATCTTTTCGCTTATAAGGGAATGGCGAGAGAATAACAGAAGTCTGTGGTTATAGAATGGTAGGAAAAGCTTCTCCTTAGAGGTGGAATTTACACCGAGGTCTGAGACCAGTGAGCATTAGGTCAGGGAACAGGGTTCGTAAAGTCCTAGGGCAGGAGAGCTTGGCCTGTGGCTGGTGACTCTCTGGGTAGTAAAGCCACTATTCTTAGTGGGTTATCTTGTTGTTTCTCTGCTCTTCAATAGAATTGAATTGAATTCTATTCTGTGCTTCTGCAGAATTGCAGGCGGTTCCCTGAGTGTATCTTCCCCTGCCTCAGTACTTCTTATACATGCTGCTTCCTCTTTTTGGAATTCTTCTCTCCCCCAGCTCTTCTTTCCATTGTCTTCTCTGACTTTCTTCAGCCAACTTCAGTACTTCCTCTGAGTGCTTACTGAACTTTGTGCATACCTCTTACTATAGCTACCCCATCATTTTTCTTTATTTCCCTCTTTGATAAACTTCTTGACCATTGGGATTGTATCTTTTTATTTATATAAATCCAAGAACTACTTATAGTTAGAACTAGACACTTAGTAGACAGTAAGTATTTATTTAGCAAATGGTCACACTTCTTTTTTTTAAAGAAACGGTCTTTAGGGGCGCCTGGGTGGCTTAGTTGGTTAAGTGTCCGACTTTCACTTAGGTCATGATCTCACGGTTCGTGGGTTCAAGCCCCGTGTCGGGCTCTGTGCTGACTGCCAGCTCAGAGCCTGGAGCCTGTTTCAGTCTGTGACTCCCTCTCTCTCTGACCCTGCTCACGCTGTCTCTCTCTCTGTCTCCTAGAAATAAATAAAAAAAAATGTTAAAAAAAAATAAAGAAAGAAACGATCTTTATTTTATTTTAGTGGGGTTTTTTTGTTTTTTGTGTTTTTTTTTTTAGTAATCTCTACTCCCAATGTGGAGCTTGAACTCATGACCGCAATATCAAGAGTCATATGCTTTACCAGCTAAGATAGCCAAGTGCCCACAAGCATATTCTTTTTTTATTTTAAAATTTTCTTAATGTTTATTTATTTTTGAGAGAGAGAGGGAGGGAGACAGAATTTGAAGCAGGCTCCAGACTGAGCAGTCAGCAGAGGGCCTGATGTGGGGCTCGAACCCATGAACCGTGAGATCATGACCTGAGCTGAAGTCAGATGCTTAACCAACTGAGCCACCTAGGCATCCCATCTTTTTTTTTTTTTTTTAATGTTTCTTTTTGAGAGAGAGTGCGTGAGTGGGAGAGGGGCAGAGAGAGAGGGAGACACAGAATCTGAAACAGGCTCCAGGCTCTGAGCTGTCAGCACAGAGCCCAACGCGAGGCTCGAACCCACGAACAGTGAGATCATGACCTGAGCCATGTTAAGTGTTAAGTCGGACACTTAACTGACTGAGCCACCCAGGCGCCCTGTCTTTTTAAAGATAGAAAGACCCCACAATATCCAACTCCTCCCTCCCTGCCACCAGGACCCACCTTTTTACTCTCTCACTTCCTCTTTTTTCAGCGGTTTACACTTGGAAAACAGGAATGTGTAGATGTGACACGGATGAAAGATATTAAGAGCATGTTATAATGATGTGATAAACTAGTCTTTGGCAGTATGAAATAGTACTTAATTGATTGCACTGAATTAGAGCATTTCATTTAAGTTCTCATCTTTATTTAATGTGCAGTGAGTAAGAGATGAGTAACAAAGAAATAGGCCGTTCTTTTGGTGTTATTGGTGTTGACATTTATAGTTAAGGACTGTCAGTTTTTAAAGTGAATATTGTAATTTTCACATTACTTAGGCAAGTTTTAAGTTTTTTAACCTCAATTATCTTTTGACCTAAAAAATAGTTTTCTGTGGTAGGAAACTGAAGCCGAGATATTTGTAATATAAGTCAGTGCTGTGACAAAGAACCTTTAGTTCAGAGATTTCTGTATACTGTTAATTCAGCTTTTCTCTGATGGCTTTTAATATTTTCTCTTAGCAAAGTAATAGCATTTAGTTTTCATTAGAATATTAATATACTGTTGTTTTTTTTCAGAGAGTAATGCCTTCTAGCTTTTTCCTGCTGTTGCGATTTTTCTTGAGAATCGATGGAGTGCTGATCAGAATGAATGACACCAGACTTTACCATGAGGTATCTCTTCTTATTTAATGAATATATTAGTTGATGTTGGGCTCATTCATTTTCTTTCATTGTCTGAGAACTTGAAATAATGCTTTATATTTGATGGCAGTCCTAACCTTTGAGATTGGGTGTTCTGCATTCACTATTGACCTCATAGTTACTGAAACTTCACATCTTCCTTTCTGAAAGTTCTGGGAGCTGAAAATGTTTTCCAAAAGACACTCCCCAGTAGAGGATATTTGATGCTTTTTTAAAACCCTCATGTGTACTTACTCTGTGTTTAAGAAACCTGTCCCTGGGGCGCCTGGCTGGCTCAGTCAATTAAGCGTCAAATTCTTGATCTGGGCTCAGGTCATGATCTCAGGGTTTGTGGGATTGAGCCCTGCATTGGGCTCTGCACTGACCATGCAGAGTCTGCTTGAGATTTTTCTCTCTCTCTGTCCTCCCCTGCTTACTCTCTCTCTCAAAATAAATAAACTTAAAAGGGGCGCCTGGGTGGCTTAGTCGGTTGAGCGTCCGACTTTCGCTTAGGTCGTGATCTCGCAGTTCGTGGGTTCGAGCCCCGCGTCGGGCTCAGTGCTGACTGCCAGCTCAGAGCCTGGAGCCTGTTTCAGTCTGTGACTCCCTCTCTCTCTGACCCTCCCCTGCTCACGCTGTCTCTCTCTCTCTCTCTCTCCTAGAAATGAATAAAACATTTAAAAAAAAAAAAAAAGAAAGAAACAAAACTGTCCCTTAACTCTTACCTTTGTTTATCATATGTATTGTTTATATAATATCTTGATATAAAAAGTACCAATCACATGGGGGCACCTGAGTGGTTCATTTAGTCAAGCGTCTGACTCTTGATTTCAGCTCAGCTCATGATCTCATGATTCATAGGATTGAGCTCCATCTTGGGCTCTGCGTGGACAGCGCAGAATGTGTTTGGAATTCTCTCTCTCCCTCTCTCTGCCCCTTCCCCGATCATGCTTGCTTGCTCTTTCTCTCCCAAATAAACTTAAAAAGCAAAAACTCACATGGCCTCCTGAAATTTGTATTACAAAGTCACTTTGATAGTTATTCTGAAGTTTGAAAGCTCTGTACTCCCATCTGAAGGAACAGTTAACATACAAGGTTTTCAGAAAAGTTAAAAAAAAAAAGGAGGAGGCTTAAATTGAAGGGTCATGAAAATTCTTCTAAGAGCTCATAGCAGCCTGCCCTTTGGAAGGGTGTGCACCGTCAGACGTGTGGCCTGTAGAATGGTGGGTTAGGGGAGAGACCAGCACTACCGGTCGGGCGCTCCTCGGAACGGTGAGCTCTCACAACCACCCTGTGAAATACGGCTCGTCACTGTCTCTGTTTATAGCTGAGGCAACTACAGCAAAGGCGGAGTAAGTAACTTGCCCAGGTTGCACAGTCCTGGGCTGGCGGAAGTGAGACTTGTACCCGTAGGGTGACGTTGGACTGGTGTTTCCCCAGATCCTATACCTACAGGCGGGTGGGTTTTCTTTCCTTGAAATAACGTGGTAACTGCGATCTTTTTCTTTTAATAAGTGGTAGTAAACTACTACAGACAGACTGCATTTTTCTCCTTCAGAAAAGATGAAGGCTACGTTTTAAAAATGCTTATGCTTTAAGTCAACTGTATTTCTTAGGAATTTATCCTAAAAACATTCTTATATACAGTAATCCACAAATATTAGGCAGTTGTAGAGTTTTATATATATAGAGAGAGAGAGTTATATACATAGAGAGAGAGTTTTGTACATATATATGAACGTTCATGACAATACTATTGTTTATAATAGCAAAAAGGAGAGAAGGAACATAATGCCCCACTGGGCACTGATTTAAATTAAACTATTTAAATAGTTTAATCTATATCCATACAGTAGAAAAGTGTACATCCGTTACACTGAATGGCAGAGAGTTATGTTGAACTGATATGTAAAGATCTGCATCTCAGTGTTGAATTTTAAACATAACTTACATACATTTATTTATTTGTTTGTTTTTGAGAGAGCACGTGCAGGCACGAGCTGGGGAGGGACAGGGAGAGAGAGAATCCCGAGCAGGCTCCACTCCCAGAGCCCCCCCGCAGAGCTCGCCTCACAGCCCTGGGACCAGGACCTAAGTCGAAATCAAGAGTCTGATGCTTAACCAACTGAGTCACCGAGGGCCCCTCAGCATTGAATAAGATTTGTACAGGGACCTCTAAATGTTAAGGATAGTGTTATCTATAGAAGCTGTGGTAGCTCCATACTTTTATATTATCTAATTTTTTCCCCTTAAGCATCAATCTGTTTTTATTGATAGAAAAGAATAAAACTTCAGTGGCCTGGGTGGCTCAGTTGAGCATTTAACTCTTGATTTCAGCTCAGGTCATGGTCCCAGAGTCATAGGATCGAGCCCCGTGCCAGGCTCTGCTCTGGGTGTGGAGCCTGCTTGAGGTTCTCTCCTCCTCCCTCCGTCCTGCTCCCTGGCTTGCACTCTCTCTCTAAAACTAAAAAGAAAACACAGAAGAATAAAACTTTAAAGGAGTTTAATCTTGTGTGATTTTTCTTGAATACTCTTTCACCAAAAAACAAATTGTAATAAATTGCTTTCTAAAATCTAATTTTATTTTTTTAATTTTTTAAATTTAAATAAAACTTTTTAATGATTATTTATTTTTGAGAGACAGTACAAGCTGGGGCGGGGGGGGGGGGGCGGCAGAGAGAGTGAGAGACACAGAATCAGAAGCAGGCTGCAGGCTCTGAGCTGTCAGCATAGATCCCAGTGCGGGGCTCAAACTCATGAACTGTGAGATCATGGCCTGAGCCAAAGTCAGATGCTTAACCAACTGAGCCACCTAGGCGCCCCTGTAAAACTTAATTTTAAAAATTTGTAAATCAAGGGCACCTGTAGTAGAACATACAACTCTTGATCTCAGGGTCGTGAGTTCAAGCCCCATGTTGGGCATGGAGCCTACTTAAATATGTAAGTAAAAAGTCATATATGGGAAAAATTGAAGTACCAAACTCTTGATTTATTAAATAAGCTATTTGACAAGAATTTTGTGGAAATGGGAGAGAATAAAATTTGATATAGCTTTCTTTTGTTTTTTTAAACATAAGAGTAGCCACGTTTCCATAAGTAGATAATTCAGCTTAAGGAGAAGGTGTAGTTCCAAACATGAGGTAATATTAAAATCTCTTGCATATCTCACTTGCAGATATACATATTTTCTTTCAAAGTAAAACTTTTACTGTGCTTCTCATAGTTGGTAATTATTAAATCTGTTTGCATGTGCGATCACTGTGATTTACAGAGGTTGGGCTGGGATTGGAATGATAATTCAGAATTCTCGGTGCAAATCTCATTACAGATAAGATATTGTTGTCAGAACTAATGCTGCTTTTGCAACCTGTTCTGTTGTCATAGGCGGTTCTGTTTAATGGAAAGTATTTTGTAACCATAGAAAAGGGTTTATTGCAACTTTTTTTTTTTTTTTGTCTTTGGACGTAGGCGGACAAGCCCTACCTGTTACGAGAGTACACATCCCGGGAGAGCAAAATCGCTAATTTAATGGTACGGTATTTAAATACCCATTTTTAAGAGCTGACTTTTAATGTTTCATGTTGTGTGTCTCCAGCCACACCTGCATCCCTAAATCTATCGATTCACCCAGTAAGCGTGTCTGTGAGGTGCGGCCCGCAAACGCATAGCTCCTCTGAGCTCACCTCAGAGACCAGGACAGAGACGTTACAGCCACCAACGCCGTCGTCCAATCTAACTTCCACCTTCTGTTTTGGAAACACAGACCCCGAGGTGTGACTTACGCTACGCCCTGCAGTGTGTGGTGGGTCTGAGCCCATTGGATGCTCCTTCCGCCTCGCACCTCGTCCCCCTGTAATTTCTTTCCACCCAGTCTGCTTTTGTTTTTTCTTAAAATGTGGTAATTCTGTACCGTAACTTGTCTCGGCATAATTTCCTTTATTTTTCGTCTCTTTGGGACTTGTAAAGGGCTTCTACGAGCCTGTAGGCTTCTGTGATGGGTTGCTTCAAAAGTGACAGCTTTCTGCAAAGTTGCTATTCTTCCTCACCCCAGTGCTTACGTCTTCCTGGGTGGAGAGCACATGTGGGATAGAAAAGTTACTTAGAGTCTGTTGTTGACCGCAGACCGCGTACCGGGCTTTACCTGAAGGCTAGTGCTTTTCAGGTACAAAATCAGACGGGAAAGGGGATTGGATGAAGGTGTATTAAACTCTTAATACATCTGTGGGAGCATTAGAAATCACATGTATCATTCGGTAACAGGCTGAATGATTCAGTAAAAAGAGATACCCGTTATCATTAGAAACACCTAACAGGGCCCCTCATATACATCAATTGCTGCTCTTTTTTTTTTTTAATGTTTTATTTATTTCTGAGAGAGAGAGATGGACAGACAGACAGCATGAGCAGGGGAGGGTCGGAGAGAGAGGGAGACACAGAATCCGAAACAGGCTCCAGGCTCTGAGCTGGCTGTCAGCACAGAGCCCGACGTGGGGCTCGAACCCACGAACCGTGAGATCATGACCTGAGCCGAAGTCGGACGTTTAACCAACTGAGCCCCCCAGGTGCCCTGATTGCTGCTCATTTTTAGATTGGCGTGCTTTACGCATGCTTAAACCAGAGCACTTCCAAAAAGTGTCAGTGCAGTGGCTGAATATACACTAATTCGATTTATGTGTTTCCTAGCATGTTTCACCTTCTCTCTTCACGGAACCCAACGAAATATCACAGTATTTACCGATAAAGGAGGCAGTTTGCGAGAAGCTGCTGTTTCCAGAGAGGATTGACCCTAAGCCTGCAGACTCACAAGAAGGCACCCCTGTGGAATAGAGGGTGCCATGGCGTCTGCTCACCATGGGATCTGACTGGAGACCCTAGCTGTTTGGAGGGGGTATTTTTATTATGAGAATTAATTGCCTTGTCTATGTGCAGATTTTCTGTAGCCTTAAAGGAGAAACAAAAATAAATAAAGGATTGTTGCAGGCAGGTTCCACTCCACTGCTGTTCGTATTGTCTATCCTCAGAGTAGTAGTCCAGATTTAGATTTCCCGGAGCCAAATTCGGATTTCTGATTGTTACAAGGTGGGACTGCACTAGTAGCAGCGTGTGTCTGTCCCGTGAGCAGTGAGCACAATCTGCGTCCGTCGTGACCCTGTCTTCTCCCGGGAGGAAGTGAGTGGGAAGCACGGAACCGCGGCCCCTTGTGACTTTCACAGGATTCCTGACCGGGCGCGTTGATGTACTAGCTCTTTTCTTTGGGCTCTTTGACGTTTATTCGTACTTCTGGAGAGCCGTGAATTGCCGTTTAGGAAGTTGATGTCATACTTTAATGATTTTTACCCACAAATTTAAAAAAATATATCTCCCCTCTAAATTTAAATTGGCTTTTGGAGTCCTAGAGAAGATTTCAGACACAGAACTGAGTCGCCGAGGGTTTTGGCGAACCGAGGGTATTCCGGCCGTGGAAACACCTGAGGTGGCTTGCCCCCTCCAGGCAGGCTGCCAGAACTGTCCTTCCTCCATCCTTAGGTGCTTTTTCTTATGTGTGGTTCTACTTGTACTGACGTTTTTTACTTCATTTTCCATGCAACCTTGGAATGAAAAAATCCATAGAATATTGAATTTGTATTACTGTCGAGCTAACTTGTTAGCTAAATGTTGTCACGAGTGATTTCGGCATTTGTTTGCCTTCTGCATCACCTGCAAGGCATAGGAAATCAGGATTTTGTTGGCTTTAAGAAAATACATCGCATATTCACTGTATATTAAATATACCTGTATTTAATGTTTTCTCTTAGGACAGAAAAGTGTATATATTGTACTCAGCTTTCTGTTGTATTTTATTTGCCATGCAGATTTGAACAGAATAAATCTCTTTATTCATACGAGATGTAAGAAATGAAAACTCAATATTCAGTAGTTGAAGTTTTGGGGCAACGTCCTTATATATACATGCTAACCTTGAATCAGACGTCTTAGACTCTGTCAGGGTTAGATCACTTATTTTGAGGCCCCATTGTTAAAAATTGTGAGGAATTGAAAGAATTGGCCTTTGTGGGGTTTTTTGTTTTGTTTTGTTTTGTATTATAGAAGGTGGGAAGCTGATGGGATGAGGGCACTTCTGGAAGCTCCTTTAGTTCCTTCCTGTGGACAATACGCAGAAAACCTGTATTTGCCCGTTGCTAAATAAGACATATACCATTTTATATTTATTTGTTCCAAGTGTTTTTTGTAAGAAAAGAATAAACAGTAAGGAATTCCTGATGTGTTTTGCTATTTCGTTTGTTTCAGTTGTTCCCAAAGCTTCATTAAAGAGTGGTTTGGTGTCCTTTTCTCGTTTGTGCTTTGCTTTGAACCTGGTCAGCATTACAGCCAGATTCTCCGCGCAGATTATAAATGAAAACCTAGCGGATGGTTCAGAATACAGTCCCCCAGTTTAGCTTTGGGGCTCTAGTTCTTCCTCTTCCTCTGCCCTCCCCTGGCCCCCAGTCCTTCTGTGGACGTTTCAGTCAGCCAGCGCTTGCCGAATGGTGAGCCAATGGCTTCGAAAATAGAAATATCTGTCATGAGTATCATTCTGTTCAGCTTTAAGCACTGTGTGCCCACTGAGGCACTAGGTACGAAGGATTACAGTAATGAAGAGGCAGAGTATACGTCTTCACAGACTTCAAGGGGGGGCGACAAAATAGAAATAATTACATATTTACAAAGTTTAATAAGCACAACAATGGAAATAATACTGATTTCAGAACATAACAAAATCCCCTTTAGCTGAGGTAGTCCTGCTTCTGAACAGGCTATAGAAAGTCTTGAGACTCTGACTTCCCAAGGAGAACATTCTGGATCACCTGCAAAATTCCATCTTTTCTTGAGCATGTCAGAGAGCCGGAGTTGGGAGACAGCAAACAACTGCGGGCAGTGACCAGCGCTCTAACGGGAGATGGGGCGTACAAACACATTTCCTTCTAGAAAGAGCGCCAAAGAAAGAAGCGGCCACTATATGAGCAGCTAAAGATAATCGAGAGTGTTAAGTTCGTAAAGGAGTCAAAGAATTTGGAATAGCTGTGAGTTTCAAATAAGGGGACTTCCCCGCACACAGGATCTTTCCCAGTGGCCTATACCAAGTGCTCACGAGAAACACCCGGGCAGGCAGGAGACCAGAAAGCGCCCCCCTCCCCCCCGTCGCTGGTTCAAGCATGCAGGAGGTCACTGGCTACTGCTGAGGGATAGGGAGGTGTGGAACCCTGTCCCCTTCCCCAGATGCTTTTCCAGAAGATGCAAAAGCTTTAGGCTGCTCAGGGAGGCTTCAGCAAATCCTATCACCCCTAGGGCTCGGGCAAAAATCCATTATTTCCAGGGGAGGAAAAAAGACAAAACCCATTTGTCTGCGGGAGTAGGAAATGTTCTGCCTTTGGACACAGACAAAGAACCATCACTGCTGGAGAAAGAGTACAGGCAAATCTCCTCCAAGGTCAGAGCAGGGACAGAAAATCCTGGCCCAGGATCCTACGTGGGAAACAAGAAGATGTGTTACCGTGTTAGGTGGGCATGGAATTCTCACAACGGTGTGCAATGCACTGTCTTCAAAGGTTTATAGAACATTCACTGAGGTAGAGAATATTCTGGGCCGTAAAAAACTTCAACAAATAACAAACTAGTCAAAACCAGTAACAGGTATCTGGGAAATCTCAAGTAACTTAGGAAAAGAGAAATTAAGGAAGTCCTGAGGAAATGACAAATACCACATTTATAGAACGAAAGACTCAAGATGGCAATCTCCCGGGATTGATCGACAGTCAGTGTAATCCCATGAAAACTAGCAGGCGGGGATTCGTGGGTGGCTCAGCCGATTAGGCATCCAACTCTTGCTTCTTGGTTTCAGCTCAGGTCAAGATCTCATGGGTTGTGAGCTGGAGCCCCGTGTCAGGCTCTGTACCGACACCCCGCCTTAGGCTCTGTGCTGACAGATTTCTCTCTTGAGATTTTTCTCTTCCTTTCTCTCTGCCCCTCCCCCGCTTGCTCATGCACTCTCCCTCTCTCAATGTCGCTCTCTCACAAACTGAATAAATTTCTTTTATTTATAAGACGATTCTAAAACATATGTGGAAATCCAAAGAATCTAGACAGCTGAGAAAATTTTGTAAAAGAACAAAGTTAGAGGATTCAAATTATGTGATTTCAATATTTAGTCTGGAGCTACAGGAATCAAGAGTATGTATGAACTGTGTTAGGATCGACACACAGATCACTGGAACAGAATAGTGACTTCAACTGACCTACACTGGGGCGCCTGGCTGGCTCAGGCCAAAGAACATGCCATCTTTGATTTCAGGATTGTGACCCCGAGCCCCATGTTGGACATAGGGATTACCACAAATAAATAATCTTTAAAAATTGACCTACACATGTACATTTAATTGATTTTGAACAAAGACATGAAGGTAATTCAGTGGAGCAAGGACATTCTCTGCCACAAATAGTCCTGGAACAATTAGACAATTAGACATCCCCGTGCAATAAATGCAAATCTTGAACCTTACCTCACACCATGCACAAAAACTACCCCAAAATGAATCGGAGACCTCAGTGTAAAACCTAAAATTATAAAGGTTGTGGAAGTAAACCAGAAAATCTTAGGGACTTGGGGCAGCCAAAGATTTCTCCAATAAAACACAAAAAGCACAAAATATAAGAAAAAATTGATAAAAATGGCCTTCATTAAAAAACAAACAAAAAAATGCTTCTGGGACGCCTGGGTGGCTCAGTCGGTTAAACGTCCAACTTTGGCTCAGGTCATATATGGTTCCTGGATTAGAGTCCTACATCAGCCCCTGTGCTCAGAGCCTGCTTTGGATTCTTCTCTCTCTCTGCCCCTCCCCAGCTCAAGCTCTGTCTGTCTCTCAAAAATGAATAAAGGTTAAAAAAATTAAAATAAAAAACGTCTACTTTTTGAAAGACACTCAAAGAATATCAACAGATAAGCACAGGCTGGGAGAAAATATTTCCAAGCCACACACATGACATAGGACTTATACCTAGAATACATAAAGAACTCCTGAAACACAATAATGAAACAACCCAATTTAAAATGGGTAGAAGCTGTGGATGGTAAATAAGCATATGAAAAGATGCTCAAAATCATCAACTATTGGGCAAATACAATTAAAAGTTCAATGAGATACCACTGATGAGGGAGCATAAGGCAAGCTGACACCCCCCAAAGACTTCCCCCCCACCCCCACCCCCACCCCACCCTGTGGGATACGTGTGACATTCCCCAAGAGCTTCTGGCTGCCCAAGAACAAAAGAAAGAGCAGAAAACAAATGGCTACACTGATAGAGTGGCCATCAGCTTAAAAATATCTTATCAATAGCCTAGTCTCCAGGAACTTCCTTAACAACAGGCTTTGCTAGAGGGCAAAACAACCTTAGCTTGACAATAGCTAGGTCTCAGTCATTTGTGAGTCTTCTTTCACTATGGAAATCCCTTTTTAAAACTTCCTCTTGACTTTACCTCTCCCAACTCCACAGTATGAAACCAGCCACTCTTCACACCCCCAGTGCAGCTCTCTCTGCTCATGGGTCCTGTCCCGGTGCTTTAATAGAATCACCTTTTTGCACCAAAGACGTCCTCAAGAATTCTTCCCTGGCCGTCAGCTCCGAACCCCACCATCACCCCAAAACCTCATCGCCTCTACACCTGGTACAAGAGCTGCCATTTAAAAACTGACAAGACCAATGTCAGTGAGGGTGTGAAACAGCTAGAATCTCACGCATTGTTGCTGAGCGTGTGAAATCGGTCAACCTCTTTGGCAAACAGTTTGGCGATTTTTTATGAATGGAAACTCTCATTTACCTTTCCACTCAGCAACCCCACTCCTGGATAAAACACATGCACACAAAGCCCTCTATACTAGTGTTTATAACTTTATTCTTCATTACTGAAGACCGGAAACAATGCGAATGTCTAGGTAAACTGCGGTACATTCCATAAAACGGAACGAACTACTAATCCGTGGATGAATCGCAAAATCATTATGCTAAGTGGAAGCAGGAAGCATGCATGCCGTATGATTTCATCTATGCAGCTGTGCTGAGGTTCTGCAGGGAAACAGATGTGCGTGTGTGTTTCCATACATTCCCAGAAGTCCCAGCATCTGTAGTCGGCAAACTGGAGACCAAGAGAGCCGATGGTGTGGCCTCCGGTCGGAGAGCCCGCAGGCTTGACAAAGCCTTGAGACCGGGAGGAGCCGATGTTTCAGTTCAAGTACAAAAGTAGGAGACCTTTGTTCCAGCTCCACAGGCAGGAGGTCACCACCCCGGCGTTTCAGTCCCTTCCGGTCTTCAGATGGTTGGGTGAGGCGTCCGGGCCACCGGCTATACCGGGTATGCCAAGTCCCACGTTCATCTCTTTCTCGGCGCCTGGGCGCTCAGTCCCTTAAGTGTCTGACTCTTGGTTTTGGCTCAGGTCACGATCTCACAGTTTGTGAGTTCAAGCCCCGCATCGGGCTCTGTGCTGATGGTGCAGGGCCTGCGTGGATTCTCTCTCCTCTTCTCGCTCTGCCCCTCCCCCCACTCGTTCTGTCTCTCTCTCTCAAAAAAAAAAAATTTAAACTTTAGAAAAATGTTGATCTCTTTTGGAAACATCCCCATAGACACACCCAGGATAATGTCTGACCCACTGACCCAACGCCTGGGGACCGTGTGTCAGGTTGACATGCAATTAACCATCACAGTAGCATTCTGGGAAAGGCAACACTGTTGGGCAGAAGTCAGATCAGTGGGTGCAAGGGCGAGAGCGAGGCGTGCGGGGGGTCACTGAGCACAAAGGGCTAGGAAGGAAATTGGGGAAGGTGATGGAATATGCTAGATTTTTATGCGGTGGTGGTTACACAGCCATGTATGTTTGTCAGAACGCATTGAGTTTCCTTGTTTGTTATTACACCTCAAACAAACATTAATTTAAAAACAGAGTTTGAGGAACCATTTAAATAAGAAAAAGAGGCAGTCTAGGAACTATTCTGAGTACATGTCATTGAACTTGCACCCTGGTGCTCACGTCGGCAGCACATCTACTAGAATTGGAACGATCCCCAGGTTAGCATGGTCCCTCCGCAAGGATGACACGCAAATTCCTGAAGCAGTCCATATTTTTGTTTGCACGTATAGGAGGATTAGGAGGAACTTAACGGAGGACCGTGGGGGAGGGGAAGGGGTAAAATAGTTGGGGAGAGGGAGGGAGGCAAACCATGAGAGACTCTTGAAGGCTGAGAACAAACTGAGGGCTGATGGGGGAGGGGGAGGGGGGAGATGGGCATGGGGGAGGGCACTTGTGGGGATGAGCACTGGGTGTTATATGGAAACCAACTTGACAATAAACTATGAAAGAAAAATAAATAAATAAATAAAAACATGAAAAAAAAAAAGAACTTGCAGCCTGAAGGATGGAAGTAACCTGACTTTGCGATTTGTTCAGCGGGGAAGGGTTTCCTCACCGGGGAAGGGTTTCCTCACCGGGGGAGCAGTATAAGAGTCCTCAGGGCACAAAAGGTCGGAGCGCAGGGTGAGACCGAAGGGGCCGGCCGAGGCCAGCAGGGACCCACTAAGGGGTTTCCAGTCCTACTTTAAGGAAGACAGAGTTTGATGCAATGGGAAACAAGGAGAAGTTAAGCGTGGGGGCAAATGATTTGACTTGCGTTTTAAATTCACTGTAGCTGTTGGGGCACCCGGGTGGCTCATTCGGCTGGGCTCCGGACTTTGGCTCACGGTTCATGAGTTAGAGCTCCTCTGCTGACAGCACGGGGCCTTCTTCCAGGACTGTCTGTCTCCCTCGCTTTCTGCCCCCGTCCGGCTCGCACTCTCGCTCTCTCAAGAATAAATAAATAAACATTTAAAACAAAAAATAAATTCACTTCAAAATCCAAAGCAGGCTCCAGGCTCTGAGCTGTCAGCACAGAGCCCGACGCAGGGCTCGAACTCATGAACCGTGAGATCATGACCTGAGCCGAAGTCGGCTGCTTAACTGACTGAGAGCCCCAGGCGCCCCATGATGGTGCCTTTTGAACCAGGGTGTGGCAATGCCTACGAAAAAAATGAGACTCAGAATGTATTTTGAAAAACAGTTTTAATGTTTATTTATTTTTGAGAGAGACACAGAACACAAGCAGGGGAAGGGCAGAGAGAGGGAGACAGAGCATTGGAAGCAGGCTCCAGGCTCCGAGCTGTCAGCACAGAGCCTGACATGAGACTCAAACCCACCAACCATGAGATCATGACCTGAGCCAAAGTCAGATGTTTAACCAACTGAGCCACCCCAGCTTCCCGACTCAGAATCTATTTTGAAGGCTGCCTTTGTTGGACTTCCTGATGAATTCAGCACAAGGGCTTAAGGAAATGGAGGAATGAAGGAGGACGGAGAGGGGTTTGCCTCCCCCAGCAGGGAGGTGTTGGTGTGCGATGGGGACAGACAGGGAGAAGGGTTGGGAATAAACATTCTGTGTGAGCACGTTAGACGCCCAAGGGCATGTCTGATGTGCGGTTAGTGGGTGACGAGTGTGCAGGTCCAGAGGCATCTAAGATAAAGGAGTTTGGCATTATTGCCGACACGGGTCGCGTTTAAAGTCACACAGTGAATGGGAGACCCGGGGAGGGTTTGTAAGGACACAAAACGGGCCTTGGAATGAGCCCTGAACGGAGGGAAAGACTTTCCGGTCGGTGTGTAGAAACCAGGAGTGTCGTGTCATGGAAGCCAAGGGAGGCACAGTGGTTTAGAAAAGGCGTGGTTGGGGCGCCCGGGGGCTCAGTCCATTCAGCGTCCGCCTCCTGGTTTCAGCTCGGGTCACCATCTCACAGTTTGTGTGTTCAAGCCCCACTTGGGGCTCTGCGCTGACAGTGCGGAGCCTGCTTGGGATTGATTCTCTCTCTCCTCTCTCCACCCCTGCCCTGCTTGCGATTTCTCTCTCGCGCTCTCAAAATAGATAAATAAATTTAAAAAATAAAATAAAAAGGAGTTGTCACCTGTGTTGAATGCTTTAAGGTAAGATGACAGTGCCCATCGGCAGCATGGAGGCACCGGTAGCAACAGCAGAGGCCAGACTGCGGGGAAAACCAGAGATGGAGGCAGGTATTTCAACAAAGCCGCTCTCACAGAAAGGGGCTGGTGGCTGGGAGGCATCGTGGGACAGGCTCGCCTGTGGGAACAGGCCAGGCAGCAGGCAGATGGCTGAAGAGAGGGGACCAGCCGTGGCGCAAACAGGGTTACCGAAAGATGAATTAAAGCCATGTGTTTTGGGATTGTCGGCCATCAATCACAGTAACTTTGTCAAGAAGTATCACTAAGTCTATCAAAACAAGGGTCCAGAAACCAGAAGGAACATTTTCTTACATGCTTAACTGTCTGGCTTCCCGCAGGGATTCATCGAATACCAGATTCTTGCCCCAGTCTTTCCCACGGGTGCACACTCAGCCATCACCGGGATGTGACACTCACGTAATGTGGGGCGTGTTCCCAGTTTATGGCTTTACTGGGTTGCGTTATACCACAGTGACGGGCAGTGCTTGTGGAAAATCTGCCTGTACTGGTGTCGTCTGCAGTAAACACCCGTGGGTGTGTGGGTTGTTTTCCTATTTACGATGGATTTAGGGCGCTGGCAGAGGAAATACCAGGTGGATTGGAAGGCTGGGCCAGTGTGACAGCGACGGGCCTCAGCATACGGGTGTGAGACCTGAATCTGTCAGAGACGGAAATGAAAGCCCAATGCAGCGAGGACCACCCTGTCTCCGTTTAGACGCCCTCTGAAACAGAGCTTGTCCAGAGAAATAACCAGGAGCCAGGTAGTTTGGGAGTCACATAATCTCACAAGGAACATGTCAGAAAGCGGGGAAAGAGAGATAACGCAGAAAAGGCGAAGAGGTGGGGTACCAAATGCGGGGGTCCCTCTGTGATCACCTGGGCTTAATAACGCTGGAGGCTTCTGGGGCGCCTGGGTGGCTCAGTCGGTTGAGCGTCCGACTTTGTCTCAGGTCATGATCTCCTGGTTCATGGGCTCAAGCCCTGAGCGCAGCTCTGTGCTGACAGATCGGAGCCTGGAGCCTGTTTTGGATTCTGTGTCTCCCTCTCTCTCTGTCTCCCCAAAATAAAGAAACATTAAAGAATTTTTTTAATAAAATAAAAAAGATTAAAAAACATATTGCTGGAGACTTCTGACATACCACGTGGACTGTAACTCAGATTCACCTGGTAGAGGACTGGAAACGACCATCCCAACTTTGGGGTGGTAGCTTCCTCATGACCACCCCGCTCAGCACGCACACACACACACACACACACACACACACACACACAGGGAGGTTTTCGAGGATGTCTAAATGCAGGTGCAGGTGGATTCAGGTGGGTAATGGAATATGACACAGCCCATGGTACTACCTCCAAATTGATGTATTGCAAGTTATCTCCCTGCAGTGATGGCCAGAAGCGTCTTGTTCCTTTTATCCCCAATTCTGTGCACTCCTGGACACGAATGGTTTCTGTGGTTTCTGTCCACATAACTCTTCCTTTATCAGGAAGCTGGATTGTTAACTGATGAAGGATTTACGGGGTGGGGAGAATGCCTGAAGACTGGTAACTAGACATCAAGCCATGGCTCTTCAGTGTCTTTCCTACCTTTCAGTGACCATGCCCCTCCCCAAAGGGATTCGGGAAACATGGTCTAAACTCTCCCACCGCCTCCAAAATCAAGAGAACATACAGACATCTGGCACTTGGAGTAAAAGAAAGCTGGTAGGTGTCCGTTTTCCCTTGAGCCGGGGGTTCTCAATCAGGGATCCGGATGGAGTCAATGGCTGAACTTCCGGTCTTTACATGCTGGCCGGCCCCACCCCCCGTTGGAATTTTAAGCAACTTTTCTGCATCTGGGCACACGGAGAGGCAATCATCTTCTTGGAAAGGTCTGTGGCACCAAAATAGAAGAAGAGCCACTGTCCTGGTTAAACAAGGGTCCCGTCTCTACCGTATTCATGAGCTGCACGCGGAAGAGTCGGAAAAAGGCAAGAATACTCGTCGGAAATGGAGAGGAAGCCCGGTTGCCCCGACAAGCCCCCCAGGGTCGCCCAGCCCTTCGCAGCTGGGTCTGCGGTCTTCACAAGCCCGAGGTCTCACTGTGACCCCGGAAGCGGGTTGTGACCCGGACGCTGCTAGCTAAGCAAGGGACCTGAAGGAAAGCCGCAAGCTCAGGACTCGGAGCTGCGGCGCCGCGGGCTCCCCGCACCGCCCGGGACGCTGCCGTCGGGCCGCGGCTCCTCTGCGCGGTGTTCGGCGGGGTTTGTCGCCATCGCCTTGGACAGCCCTGTTTCCGGCCTCCAGGACGAACCCGTCCGGAGACTCGGCTCTCCGCCCGCCCAGACCTGTTAAGACGTTCGGGTCTTGATATCTGAAGGCCTTTTTCTTTAAAGTCACCCAGAATGCAGACCCCAGTTCGTTATTTCTGCGTTAATTTCCTGTGTTCGTGCTCCGAGGGGCCTGGACTCTGACAGCGACCTCGATTTTAGTGCGCGCCAAGGGCGGGATGCGCTCGGCAAGAGTGCACCCAGCGTCACCCACCGCCCCCGCTGTCCGCCGCGATGAGACCGGCGCCCCGGGGAGCCGTGGGGGCTCGCTCGCGTCCCGGAGGCCGGGGGGACCAGGGGGCCGGCCCGCACGAGGCAGCGCCGGCCCGGCTGCTGAGCGCCTGCTGTGCGTTCCGCGTTCTCTTGGTCTGGAGACGCAGAGACAGATAAGACGAGGTCTGTGACCGTGGGGGCCTTGTGCGAACGGGAGGGACAGCTGCGAACGACCAGAGCGTGTCGTCCGGGGCGCACTGTGTGGGGGGCGCACGGGGGCCAGCGTGGGAGAGGAGGGTGTTCTCCAGGACACGGTGGGGGTGAGTTCAGGAGCCACGTTTTCTCGGGCGTGGAGGCTGGGGCGTGTGGCGCGAGGGACAGAGGTGGGGCCGGGCTGGAGGTGCACCGCGTGTCACGATTCGTCGTGGGGGTGCGGAGCCACACGCATGCGCCTCCGGGACTGGCGTGGCAAATCACGACCAACATGGCGGCCAAACCCCGGCGGTCGGCGCTCCGCCGCTCTGGAGGCCGGAAGCCCGAGGTCGCGGCGTCGACAGG